TTTATGTTTTTGTACATTCTAATCAAGTCTTTTGAACTAGTTCAGGGTAGAAATTCAAGGTAGGATGTTTCCTTTTTTAGCTCACCGGGGCCCAAAGGGCCCCATGTGAGCTTATGCCATCACTTGGCGTCCGTCGTCTGTCGTCGTTGTCGTAAACTATTTCAAAAATCTTCTCCTCTGAAACTACTGGGCCAAATACCTTCAAACTTTAACTAAATGTTTTTTAGGGTATCTAGTTTATAAATTGTATCCGAAGTTTTGATCCATCGACAAACATGGCCACCATGGCTAAAAATAGAACATAGGGGTCAAATGCAGTTTTTGGCTTATATCTCAAAAACTAAAGCTTTTAGAGCAAATCTGACATGAGGTAAAATTGTTTAGTTGGTCAAGATCTATCAGCTCTAAAATTTTCAGACGAATCAAACAACCCATTAATGGGGTTGCTGCCACCGAATTGGTAGTTTTAACAAAATTTTGCAGTTTTTTGTTATTATTTTGAATATTATTATAGATATATATAAACTGTAAGCAGCAATAATGTTCAGCAAAGTAAGATCTACAAAAAAGTTAATATGACCATAATTGTCAATTGACCCCTTAAGGAGTTATTGCCCTTTAAAGACAATTTTACACAATTTGTTCATCAAGTTTGCTAACTTTTAAAAATCTTCTCCTCTGAAACTACTGGGCCAATTACCTTCAAACTTTAACTAAATGTTCCTTAGGGTATCTTGTTTATAAATTGTATCTGAAGTTTGTATCCATCGACAAACATGGCCGCCATGGCTAAAAATAGAACATACGGGTCAAATGCAGTTTTTATACGACCGCAAAAAAATTTTGTGGTCGTATATTGGTATGACGTTGGCGTCGTCGTCGTCGTCCGGCGTCGTCGTCGTCGTCGTCGTCCGGCGTCGTCGTCCGAAGACACATTGGTTTTCGCACTCTAACTTTAGTATAAGTGAAGTGATCTTTTTGAAATTTGACCATAAGGTTAAATACCACAAAAGGAAGGTTGGGATTGATTTTGGGGATTATGGTACCAACAGTTAAGGAATTAGGGGCCAAAAAGGGGCCAAAAATAAGCATTTTCTAGTTTCCAGACAATGACTGTGGAATGGTGTATGGATCTCTCTGAAATTATACTACAAGTTTCCATACCACAAAGGGATGGTTACGATTTGCTTAAGGGGGTTATGGCTCAAACCGTTTAGGAATTAGGGGCAAAAAAGGGGGAAAAACAAGGTTGTCCTGGTTAATGGACAAATACTTTAGTACAAAACATAATTTAAAGCAGTGTAAGGGAGATAAATCAAATACATCATTGAAATTATCTCCCTTACACTGCTTTTAAATTATGTATAAAGTAATGGTTAATGAACAATAAAGATAATTTAAAACAGTGTAAGGGAGGTAATCCAAATACAACGTTTTGGTTACTTCCCTTACACTGCTTTTAAATTGTTTAAAAAAATGCATATTTATAAAGGAAGACCAGTAAAAATATCTGCAAATGTTGCATCTTTTTTTTTTTACAAAAAAATCCATATGAAAGATTTGACACTATATTTTTAATTCTATTATAAAATAAATTAAGTTAGCACTATGGTAAATTTAAATGGGTAATTATGGTTGCCAACTCCATTGGAAATTTGAATTGAGATTATGACCATATCTTGAGGGAAAGAATTTTTTGGGGGAAAAAAAGGGGGGAGGGGATAAAAAGAAATTGTGGGGGGGTCAATTTTTTCTCATTTCAGATTTCAGAAATTAAAAAGAATTATTCTTCAAATATTATTTTTTTTTCAAATTTCAAATATTGAAAAATTTCAAGAAGAAATCTTTAATTGCACAGTATGGCGCATTAGATTTGTAAAATCTTTGATCACATTTATTTATTTGTTATGCCGAATCTAACAGTGTATTAAGATTTTTAATTTTGGGTCCAGTTTTCAAATTGGTCTACATTAATGTCCAAAGGGTCCAAAATTAAACTTTCTTTGATTTTAGCAAAAATTGAATATATGAGGTTCTTTGATATGCTGAATCTAAACATGTATTTAGATTTTTGATTTTTGGCCCAGTTTTCAAGTTGGTCCAAATTGGGGTCCAAAATTAAACTTTGTTTGATTTCAACAAAAATTGAATATATGGGGTTCTTTGATATGCTGAATCTAACCATGTATTTATAATAATAATAATAATAATAAATTCTTTATTTAAAGAGGGTAAACTCAGTTAGTTACAATAAACTAATCTTCCCTGAGGCCCTCACATACAAATTACAATACAATCAAAAACAGATATTTACACAAAGTTAATTTACAGTCAATTAGTTCAATGTAATATTACTAACATGATATATCTTTTATTTGTGGACCCCGTTATCAAATTGGTTCATATTGAGGTCAAAAGGGTCCAAAATTAAACTTTGTTTGATTTCATCTAAAATAAATTATTGGGGTTCTTTGATATTCCAAATCTAACCGTGTATTTAGATTTTTAATTTTGGGTCCTGTTTTTTAAATTGGTCTACATTAAGGTCCAAAGGGTCCAAAATTAAACTTAGTTTGATTTTAACAAAAATTGAATTCTTGGGGTTCTTTGATATGCTGAATATAAACATGTGTTTAGATTTTTGATTATGGGCCCAGTTTTCAAGTTGGTCCAAGTTGGGGTCCAAAATTAAACTTTTTTTGATTTCAACAAAAATTGAATATATGGGGTTCTTTGATATGCTGAATCTAACCATGAATTTAGATTTTTTATTTGTGGACCCCGCTATCAAATTGGTTCATATTGAGGTCAAAAGGGTCCAAAATTAAACTTTGTTTAATTTCATCAAAAATTGAATTATTGGGGTTCTTTGATATTCCAAATCTAACCGTATATTTAGATTTTTAATTTTAAGTCCCGTTTTTTAAATATGTCTACATTAAGGTCCAAAGGGTCCAAAATTAAACTTAGTTTGATTTTAGCAAAAATTGAATTCTTGGGGTTCTTTGATATGCTGAATCTAAACATGTGTTTAGATTTTTATACGACCGCAAAAAAATTTTGTGGTCGTATATTGGTATGACGTTGGCGTCGTCGTCGTCGTCGTCGTCGTCGTCGTCGTCCGGCGTCGTCGTCCGAATACATATTGGTTTTCGCACTCTAACTTTAGTTTAAGTGAATGGATCTTTTTGAAATTTGACCATAAGGTTAAATACCACAAAAGGAAGGTTGGGATTGATTTTGGGGGTTATGGTACCAACAGTTAAGGAATTAGGGGCCAAAAAGGGGCCAAAAATGAGCATTTTCTAGTTTCCAGACAATAACTGTGGAACGGTGTATGGATCTCTCTGAAATTATACTACAAGTTTCCATACCACAAAGGGATGGTTAGGATTTGCTTTGGAGGGTTATGGCTCAAACCGTTTAGGAATTAGGGGCAAAAAAGGGGGGAAAACAAGGTTGTCCTGGTTAATGGACAAATACTTTAGTACAAAACATAATTTAAAGCAGTGTAAGGGAGATAAATCAAATACATCATTGAAATTATCTCCCTTACACTGCTTTTAAATTATGTATAAAGTAATGGTTAATGAACAATAAAGATAATCTAAAACAGTGTAAGGGAGGTAATCCAAATACAGCGTTTTGGTTACTTCCCTTACTCTGCTTTTAAATTATGTTTAAAGAAATGCATATTTATAAAGGAAGACCAGTAAAAATATCTGCAAATGTTTTCATCTTTTTTTTTTACAAAAAAATCCATATGAAAGATTTGACACTATATTTTTATTAATTCTATTATAAAATAGATTAAGTTAGCACTATGGTAAATTTAAATGGGTAATTATGGTTGCCAACTCCATTGGAAATTTGAATTGAGATTATGACCATATCTTGAGGGAAAGAATTTTTTTGGGGGAAAAAGGGGGGGGGGGGGATAAAAAGAAATTGTGGGGGGCCAATTTTTTCTCATTTCAGATTTCAGAAATTAAAAAGAATTATTCTTCAAATATTATTTTTTTTTCAAATTTCAAATATTGAAAAATTTCAAGAAGTAATCTTTAATTGCACAGTATGGCGCATTAGATTTGTAAAATCTTTGATCACATTTATTTATTTGTTATGCCGAATCTAACAGTGTATTTAGATTTTTAATTTTGGGTCCAGTTTTCAAATTGGTCTACATTAATGTCCAAAGGGTCCAAAATTAAACTTTGTTTGATTTTAGCAAAAATTTAATATATGAGGTTCTTTGATATGCTGAATCTAAACATGTATTTAGATTTTTGATTTTTGGCCCAGTTTTCAAGTTGGTCCAAATTGGGGTCCAAAATTAAACTTTGTTTGATTTCAACAAAAATTGAATATATGGGGTTCTTTGATATGCTGAATCTAACCATGTATTTAGATTTTTTATTTGTGGACCCCGTTATCTAATTGGTTCATATTGAGGTCAAAAGGGTCCAAAATTAAACTTTGTTTGATTTCATCTAAAATTGAATTATTGGGGTTCTTTGATATTCCAAATCTAACCGTGTATTTAGGTTCTTAATTTTGGGTCCTGTTTTTTAAATTGGTCTACATTGAGGTCCAAAGGGTCCAAAATTAAACTTAGTTTGATTTTAACAAAAATTGAATTCTTGGGGTTCTTTGATTTGCTGAATCTAAACATGTGTTTAGATTTTTGATTATGGGCCCAGTTTTCAAGTTGGTCCAAGATAGGGTCCAGTATTTAAACTTTGTTTGATTTCAACAAAAATTGAATATATGGGGTACTTTGATATGCTGAATCTAAACATGTATTTAGATTTTTGATTATGGGCCTAGTTTTCAAGTTGGTCCAAATTGGGGTCCAAAATTAAACTTTGCATGATCTCAACAAAAATTGAATATATGATGTTCTTTGATATGCTGAATCTAACCATGTATTTAGATTTTTTATTTGTAGGCCCCGCTATCAATTTGGTTCATATTGAGGTCAAAAGGGTCCAAAATTAAACTTTGTTTGATTTCATCGAAAATTGAATTATTGGGGTTCTTTGATATGCCAAATCTAACCGTGTTTTTAGATTTTTAATTTGGGTCCCGTTTTTTAAATTGGTCTTCATTGAGGTCCAAAGGGTCCAAAATTAAACTTAGTTTGATTTTAACAAAAATTGAATTCTTGGGGTTCTTTGATATGCTGAATCTAAACATGTATTTAGATTTTTGATTATGGGCCCAGTTTTCAAGTTGGTCCAAGTTGGGGTCCAAAATTAAACTTTTTTTGATTTCAACAAAAATTGAATATATGGGGTTCTTTGATATGCTGAATCTAACCATGAATTTAGAATTTTTATTTGTGGGCCCCGCTATCAAATTGGTTCATATTGAGGTCAAAAGGGTCCAAAATTAAACTTTGTTTGATTTCATCAAAAATTGAATTATTGGGGTTCTTTGATATTCCAAATCTAACCGTGTATTTAGATTTTTAATTTTAAGTCCCGTTTTTTAAATTGGTCTACATTAAGGTCCAAAGGGTCCAAAATTAAACTTAGTTTGATTTTAGCAAAAATTGAATTCTTGGGGTTCTTTGATATGCTGAATCTAAACATGTGTTTAGATTTTTGATTATGGGCCCAGTTTTCAAGTTTGTCCAAGTTGGGGTCCAAAATTAAACTTTGTTTGATTTTAACAAAAATTGAATATATGGTGTTCTTTGATATGCTGAATCTAACCATGTATTTTGATTTTGGACATTGGACCATAATAGGTAAATTAAAAAAATTCAAGTTCTTAGACCACATTCTTTCTGTGTCAGAAACCTATGCTGTGTCAAATATTTAATAACAATCCAAATTCAGAGCTGTATCAAGCTTGAATGTTGTGTCCATACTTGCCCCAACTGTTCAGGGTTCGACCTCTGCGGTCGTATCAAGCTGCGCCCCAGCGAAGCAATTTATTGGCTTATATCTCAAAAACTAAATCTTTTAGAGCAAATGTGACATGAGGTAAAATTGTTTAGTTGGTCAAGATCTATCAGCTCTGAAATTTTCAGACGAATCGAACAACCCATTGTTGGGTTGCTTCCACCGAATTGGTAGTTTTAACAAAATTTTGCAGTTTTTTGTTATTATTTTGAATATTATTATAGATATATATAAACTGTAAGCAGCAATAATGTTCAGCAAAGTAAGATCTACAAAAAAGTTAATATGACCAAAATTGTCAATTGACACCTTAAGGAGTTATTGCCCTTTAAAGACAATTTTACACAATTTGTTCATCAAGTTTTCTAACATTTAAAAATCTTCTCCTCTGAAATGCAGGTGAGCGATTCAGACTCTTGAGAGCCTCTTGTATTTATTAAAAAAGTTAATACAATACCATGCTTTGCTCAGACTGTATTACATCTTTATACACTAAATTGATTTATTGATGTACTGATTGATATTTTAGTCAGGGAAAACATGGGTTATTTATCAGTTTGTAGCCTTCAGTAAAAGCGAGTACTCTTAATGCTGATTTGATTGGTTAAGCTTTTTCCAACTGAGAGTTGGATTTTATGATGAACTTTTACATCACTATTCCATGTTAGGGGAAGGTTTGAGTGCTGAAAAACATGTCCCCACCAATAATGTTGCTTGTACCTTGTCAGGATACTGTACATTCAATGGTTATCATTGGTTGCTGTCTGCCATATAAAAAAGAAGATGTGGTATGATTGCCAATGAGACAACTCTCCACAAGAGACCAAATGACATAGAAATTAACAACTATTGGTCATACTTGTTTTTCTTTTTCTTTTTTGAATTGTTTCACATTTTGTCGTGTTGGGGCCTTTTATAACTTACTATACTGTATGGGTTTTGTTCATTGTTGAAGGCCATATAGTGGCATATATTTGTTTCCATCCTTGTCCTTTGATCTCTGATGGATAGTTGTCTTATTTGCAATCATACTACACCTCCCTATTTTTATTAAAAGAAAGTTTTGATTTTAGTTATTTGAGGATGCAGAAGAGTTGAGAGAATCAGGAAGGAAGATGAGAAAGGAAGGAGAAAGTTTATGGAATGTTCTCAATGATATTGGTAAAAAGGTGAGACTTTTTTTTATATTTCAGTTTGAATAGAATTTTTAGCTCACCTGCAGTTTTTGGTTATTATCTTGAATATTATTATAGATAGAGATAAACTGTAAACAGCAATAATGTTCAGCAAAGTAAGATCTACAAATAAGTCAACATGACCAAAATGGTCAATTGACCCCTTAAGGAGTTATTGCCCTTTATAGTCAATTTTTAACAATTTTTTGTTAATTTTTGTAATCTTTTACAAAAATCTTCTCCTCTTAAAATACGGAGACAAATTTAACCAAACTTGTCCAAAATCATCATTAGGGTGTCTAGTTTAAAAAATGTGTCTGATGACTCCACCTACCAACCAACATGGCTGACATAGCTAAAAATAGAATATAGGGGTAAAATGCAAGTTTTGTCTATTATTTTTTGAACCGTTATAAATAGAGAACATCTGAGAGGAGCAAAAATGTTCAAAGTAATGAGCTCTACCAATTGTCCATATACGTCAAAACTGTAAGACAAATTCTTATAGGAGTTATTGCCCATAAATGACAAATTTTACCATTTTTTTCATTTTTGCCTATTATCATGAAAACTATTATATTTAGAGAGAAACATTTTTTTTCCGTTATGCCTTCTATGATTTAAATTATAATAGATAAATAAACACTTTAAATCACAAAAATGATCACAAAGGTAAGATCTATTAAAAAGTCAAATTTTGCCGATATAGTTAGTAGACTGTCACTCTTCATAGAAGTGATTGCCCCTAAATGAGGATTTTTTTTACTTTCTTTTGTGTTTTGAGCAAAAACTAAAGAAGATAGAGAGAAACTAAACAGACAAAAAAGTAAAATCACAAAAATACCGAACTCCAAGGAAAATTCAAAAAGGAAAGTCCCTAATCAAATGGCAAAATCAAAAACTCAAACACATCAAACAAATGGATAACAACTGTCATATTCCTGACTTGGTACAGGCATTTTCTTATGTAGAAAATTGTGGATTAAACCTGGTTTAAAGCTAGCTAAACCTCTCACTTTTATGACAGTCGCATCAAATTCCATTATATTGACAACGATGTGTGAACAAAACAAACAGACATAATAGGTAAACATGTCAAAAATAGGGGTACAGCAGTCAACATTGTATTATAATCTTAATCACTATTAAAACAAACAAATATGTAACAAGGAAGCACAAAATGGTATATAGACCAAGCATATTAGCAAAAATTAAAAACAAGAATACACAAATTTACCATAGTACAATAACACAATGACGAGATGTATAAGTACAGAGCAACGTCATATATGTATCATAGAAACATAAAAAGGCATATAGACAAAGCACATTAGCAAAAATGAAAGGCAAGAATACAAAAATGTTTTACAATAACACAATAACGGGATGTATAAGTATCTACTAAAAGATCAGTAATACAAGATCAACAAAATAGAGATTTTTGTCATGAAGTCTATTCTCATCTACAATGTTGGAGAGTGTCCTTTGTTTGATATGCACATAGACCAAGGTGAGCGACACAGGCTCTTTATAGCCTCTAGTTTTAAGTATATTATGTTAAATAAGTTTGTTTAAACTATTATAAAAAAGTAATCAGTTGCAGTTATATTGGGAAAAAAATGTTAACCTCAAAAAAAGAATTTCTATAAAAATATTAATGTAAAACATGATATATGTATGACTCATTTTTGTCTCGCCTTGACGGAGTCAAAAAGCAAGACATAGGTATGCTGTTTCCAGCGTCGGCGGCGGTGTCAACAATGTATTAGTTTGTGATTAGGTCTAGTTCATGGTGAACCACTAGTGGTAGGTCAATGATATTTGGTATGCAGTTGTATTAGCATTGGCACATCTCATTACCATGGAGATTATTTGGCCCCGCCCCCTCAGTCAAGGTCTATTGACTTTGAAACTTTGCTTAGTTTACATGTATTAGTTTGTGATTAGGTCAGTTTATGGGGAACCACTAGTGGTAGGTCAATGATATTTGGTATGCAGTTGTATGAGCATTGGCATATCTCATTTCCATGGAGATTATTTGGCCCTGCCCCCTCATTCATGGTCTATTGACTTTGAAACTTTTGCTTAGTTTACATGTATTAGTTTGTGATTAGGTCAGTTTAAGATGAACCACTAATGTTAAGTCAATGATATTCAGTATGCAAATGTATTGGCATTTGCAAGTTTCATTTCCATGGAGATTATATAACCCCACCCCCTAATTATGGTTCATTGACTTTGAAACTTTTACATAGTTTACAAGTTAATGTTTGTGTTTAGGTTTGTTTAAAGGGAACGACTTATGAAAAGTCAATGGTATTTGGTTTGCAGTTGTATTAGCATGAGCACATCTCATTTCCATGGAGATTGTTTAGCCCTGTACCTTCAGTCATGGTTCATTTACTTTGAATATTTGCATAACTTACATGTTAAAAGTATTGCTATTTTAATTTCAACATTTGCATTATCAAAATAACAAATAGGCGAGACATATCTCTGTGTTAACAGTTTATGCTTTATCTGAAATTATTTTCATTGATCCTCATTTATTATCATGGCAAAAGTTTTAGTTTCATCACCCCTGAGCCAATATTACTCCTCATGCTTTAGGCTATGTAGTTGATATTGGTAAATCCAGTTTATTCTGCACTTAATGCTTATTTTTCAATATAACTTTTCTTGTTCTTCATTTAAAATATTTGAACTTGAACATGTCCTAAATTTCAATTTTTTTTCTCTTTCCAGAATTTACCACTACCAGATGTGTTCAAAGTAAAGAAGTCACCAGTAAAGTTGATTATGACCACCAGAAGAGAAAACACAAGTAACATGGGGAGTAAATTGTTACACTCACCTAATCTGTTAATACACCAGTAAGTTATTACATTCACCTAATCTGTTAATACACCAGTAAGTTGTTACGTTCACCTAATCTGTTAATACACTAGTAAGTTGTTACGTTCACCTAATCTGTTAATACACTAGTAAGTTGTTACATTCAGCTAATCTGTTAATACACTAGTAAGTTGTTACGTTCACCTAATCTGTTAATACACCAGTAAGTTGTTACGTTCACCTAATCTGTTAATACACTAGTAAGTTGTTACATTCAGCTAATCTGTTAATACACCAGTAAGTTGTTACGTTCACCTAATCTGTTAATGCACCAGTAAGTTGTTACGTTCACCTAATCTGTTAATACACTAGTAAGTTGTTACATTCAGCTAATCTGTTAATAAACCTGTGCGTTGTTACACTCACCTAATCTGGTAATACACAAGTAAGTTGTTACATTCACCTAATCTGTTAATATACCAGTTAATTGTGAAATTCTGTTAATAAACCAGTAAGTTGTAACACTCAACTAATCTTTAAATACACTGTTAAATGTTAAAATCACATAAACTGTTAATACACCAGTAAAGTACTTTCTGTCTTGAATTTTCCTTG